CGTGAGAGTCGGTAGACTAACGAAACATCAACCGACGCAACGTGAGAGAGTGTCCCTGCGTGCGTTCCTCTGTTCGTTGTGGAAAATGTTGCGGCAGTTCCAGGCCCATATCACCCCTCAGGATCTTTCCAGGCTAGATCAAATCTCCCCTGATACGCCGATACGCAACTGGGAATAGACCAGTAGCCTATGGACGACGACCTTCATAGCTGGTTCCACGTGGTCCAACAACGAGTTTAGTGGCAGCACGTTGTACAAACTCTGGCTTAGCCAGTTCATCGGCAGTGCAGGGGTATGTCGCGGCGCTACCATACTCAGGTCTGAAGTGTGAAGCGTACAGCAGTCTCCATCGTAAACCGACTGAAAGGCCTCCGACGGGTTCCGATCTCCAAATGTGTGTGTGTAAGTGTACGATCTCGTTTTAATCAAATAATTCGCTGTGAATATCACCAAACTGTCCGATCTTGTTCGGCGGTCTTCACCAGATGTAGAAGAGCTGAAATCTACTCTGGTCAGCATCTGCTATAAACTTTTGGGCACTAAACCACCGACAAAAGAGTTAGTAACCACATACCACCGGGAACGGTTGAAGAAGTTAAAGGAAAACCGAGATATTATTCTTTTGGGACCAGACAAAGGCGCTGGAATAGTCCTTTTAAATAGATCCAATTACACCAACAAGATGAATAACATATCCAGCGACACCAGAAACTGGAACGACAATTCCGAGGCTTTATGGATCACCAAAGATACACGAAAAAAGGAGTGCCTCTCCGACCAAGTGGCTGGTAGCGATCCTGGAACCCGTGAGAGCACCACCTACCAAGCATACATTAAAGGATTCCTATGACTAGGATTAAAAACAAAACATTAACGGATTACGCATGATATCACTCGATGTCAGTTTAGTTTTCACAAACGTTCTCATTGCTGAAACTATGGCATACATGTGTGACCACGTACAAAGTAACAATCGTGAAATTGGAATACCAGTTGACAATCTTTCACAATTACTACTGCTTGTACTATATGAAATTTATCGTCAAATAGATGGGGTATCAATGAGATCTTCTGTGGGTCCATTGTTCGCAGATATTTTCATGGCGAAGCTGGAGAATAACATCCTAAAAAGAGGAATCGATCTTTGTGCATTTTACAAGCGCTATGTGGATGACAGTGTGAATCTGTCAACACCCTTAAAAGTATTCAGTTCAGCACATTCAAACATAAAGTTCACTTTAGAGAACGAAAAGAATCATTAGATCGCTTTTCTGGACG